CCATCTGGGGACTTGAAAAAACGATAAGAAAAGGATTTTTATAAGTTTTTTTACTTCAGAGGTGATTTTCTTCACCCCAAAGCTTCAGTGCTAGGAACGTAATCGGGTAAATCTGAGAGATGTGATCTGCATAAAGTTTTGAGGGTGCATTGTCTCTTAGTAGAGTCATCCCTCAGTATCCACGGGACATTGGTTCCAGGCCCCCCCTGCAGATACCAAACTCCGTGGAAACTCAAGTCCCTTATACAAAATGACACAGTTCAGTTAACCCTCCGTATCCTCAGGTTCCACACCTACGGTTAGGAAGAGCCAACTATAGGACCCGAAACCCTTCAGGTTATGGCTTCTTACTAAGTCGTCTCCTAATTCAACCTATTAGTTAGTAGCCTATATTATTGCATCATTGTATCCCCCAAGCATTTAGCACAGAGCCATTCACAAAAGTAGCGTCTTAATGAGTACCTGCTGAATGAATGAACAAGTGCACCCAGGTGTAAATAATTCCGACATGCTCTGAAGCTTACTGGTCAGGCTGTACAATGAGGAGGTGCTTGTACAGCATATGCCTCAACTTTTTCATTCAGGCAATGTTTCGAAATTCCTCCCCCTCACTAACTCACTTCAAATTCAAGGACTCATGGTCCACTGAAGGGAGACAGAGTATTGGAATTAAAGAAAAGCAGATTTACTGTAGACCAAATGAGCCACAGTTCCCAGCCCCTGAAGAAGCAGAAAACATATCTAAACCTCTAACCTTGGAAATAAACAAAGAGTTCCAAGGCTTACTTGAAATGTGAAATGTTCATATGCACAGATATTTTGAGATAATTATAATTTTTAACTGATTATTTATCGAGAACTGGATTTAGGAATTGAACACATAATAACAGCTATAATTACCTAGTGCCTATTAGATAGCCAGCCCTATGCTTGGTGTTTTACATATTTTATTGCTAATCTTTGGAAGTATTATTATGCCCGTTTTAGATATTTTTTAAAAAACTAAAGCTCAGAACAGTTAGGCCTAAAGACCATAAAGCTATTAAGGTGAGCCAAGGATAAAAGTCAACTCTCTTAAACTACACACCACTCTTTATTTCCTGATGCCAAATGACTTCTATTGAAACAGAATTAACTATCTGTGGATCCACACTTAAAGAAAGATCCATCAATCATATTTATAATTATGGTCTAATGAGCAGAGAGGATATTTTAACCCTAAATGTCTGAATACATGCTTGTGGTTGGCCAAGAAAAAATTGGGCAGCAGTACTGATAGGAGATAAAGGGACATCTGATGCCCCAGGTGACTGTCGATTTTCATAAAACAGAGGTTGGAGTGGTGGTGTTGCCCCTCTGAAAATGCCCTATTTCACTGTCAAGGCTACAAACTAAGCACACATCCAGAACAATGCCTGTGTCCTCCAACACTCAAACCCACACTGCACTCAATGAACCATGAACAGTACTTAGAATGAGTCAAAGCAGGACACACTAGAATACCCCAGAGGAAGCGGGATGGTAGTGACTCTTCCTGAACAAAAGTCTTGGGGAGCTGCCAAGTTGGAAAGGAATCCTCACAAAGGATACAGTTTTTAAAAGGCAGCCTGTAAAAAGCCATCAAAGCCAACACTCAAAGAATTGTCTTCACACACAGCCTTTGCAGTTAGCACTGTCAGTCACAGGACAGATAGGCCCTTGGAGAACAGTCACCATTACCACTGAGTTTCGATGCAAAAGTCACCACATGTAGATTCAGACAGAACTGGCTACAGAGCACAATACATTTTCAGTTTCCACCTACAGCCCCTCTTGTCCCTTCATACCCTGTACAAGGATACTGTGGGTGTTAACTTGATCTCGACTTTCCTCTAGCTTTCCTGTTTATCTTTTCCCTATACACACAAATGTTGATGGGATAACTTTAGCCAACAGATATGGTACAATCAGTTCTACTATCATGCTTGCCTTGAAAACACAAATTTCTTCCAATAACATTGATATATTAGAGAGTGATTTGAGTATAATGGGCAATTTCCATTTGTTTATGCACAACTTTGTCCCAGAAACTCTAGGTGACTGCAGAAAACATACCTAGTTGCACTGAGCACTGTAGGAATGCACGAAACACACAGAGCTGCACACCTTAGGAGCACAATGATCCACATGTGTCTACATCTGGTGCTGTCACTTCCTCTTTGACCTCAGATAACCCTCCTCCCACTTCAGAATAACTTGCAAGCTGTCATGCTTCCAAAAACCATCCTGGAGGGTATCCTCCACTCTGCTTATTTTCCCCCTTCCTCCCAGCCTATTTTGTTATTTTCCTCTCTACTCTCTGTTCTACTTCAAAGTTTTCACCTTTATCTCTTTTTCCTTCCTCTTTTTTTTCTTGCACACAGAGTGGCAGGCATGTGAGTAGAAGCAGATGCAATGGGTACACACTTCCATAAGCAAATTTCACGTCTTATTCAAGATGAAGTGCCAGGAGGGGCAGTACAGGTGTCAGGGAGTGGGAGATACAAACTACTGGGTGTAAGGCTACAAGGATGCATTGTACAACAGGGGGAATATCGCCAAGATTTTGTAAAAACTGTAAATGGAGTGTAACCTTGATAAATTGTATAAAAAATTAAAAAAGAACAGTGCAGCTTAAGAAGTCAGTGTCACAAGAGAATTGTATTATAAACATACTAGTTAGAATTTAATTTCATAATGATAAGACACAGATTAAGTATAAAATTGATGGAAATGGACTTTGAGCCCAGCCTAGCTATGAATCATATCCTTACGATTTTGAAGGATCAGACTGGCACGCAGTCTCGAGCCTTCTTTATGACAGGATGTGAAAGGTCAGCTCAGCCCTCTGTATTCTCCAAGTATTTTGGTCAATAATTCAGCCTTTCTTCCTCTCGAATTTACTGTTATTGAAACCAATTATCTCCAGTTACAACTCATTTAAATGACAGATACTTGGATCATTTTCCTTTTCATTACCACAAGGGCTCTGGCCTTGTGTATAATATGCAGAGCAAGAGCTTGTAAACAAACCACTTGAGTTTGATTCTTTGGGTCCTAACTTCTTCATCACTTATTACCTGTTTAACGCTTATCCACTTGACCTGTCTGAGCCTTTTTTTTTCCTTCACATCTAAGGGCTGAATTTAAAAAAAGATCATTCCCCGGTGGCGCAGTGGTTGAGAGTCCACCTGCCAATGCAGGAGATGCGGGTTCGTGCCCCGGTCCGGGAAGATCCCACATGCCGCGGAGCGGCTGGGCCCGTGAGCCATGGCCGCTGAGCCTGCGCGTCCGGAGCCTGTGCTCCGCAACGGGAGAGGCCACAACAGCGAGAGGCCCGCGTACCACAAAAAAATAAAAAAATAAAAAAAATAAATAAAAAAAAATAAAAATAAAAAAAGATCATTTAAAAAAGGACTTTTTTGAATTTAAAAAATTTAAAAAACGATTAAGTGCCACATTTTTTATAGTTTTATAAATTTCTTAACCACTTAACATGAATAAAGTGTTAACATGAATAATTTTTAATAGGTCCCTATCATTTTTCCGTGCGTCACTGATGAAGCTTCTAAGCTTTTCCTATTACTCTATGGTTTTAGACTTTGCAGAGTGCAAGTATTTCTAGGAGTATATGTGTCACACTAGAGTAGAATGGACTGGAGAGTAAGATTTATCGGTGACCTTTTAAGTATGGAAGTTTCAAGTTTCTTCTTCAGTGTTTCATGCTAGTTTGCAAATTAGGTTAAATAAATTAGCTCACATTGTCTCAAATTATAACCCTTTGTGTGAAATTGACCATAACTTTAAACAGTGTAATCTAGACAGTAATGACCAGGCTTGAAAGAAAATGATCCCGTTTACTTTAGGTCCCTTTCTCTTTTTGTTTGGAAAGTTCTGGAAAATTCTATCTACATCAATTTGTATACTAATGCTTTCACCACTGAATTTAATTTATAATATTGACCCATTAATATTAAAAACCAGCATATTTTTCACAGTAACTTTTTTGAGGCTTCTTTGTAAATGGTAAGAAGAGGGGGGAAAAAAAAAAGAAAAACCCATGTACAGTCACAATGATCTAGGCTGCACTGGTTTTATCTAAACTTATTGACTTACTTAAATAATACCAGCTGAGAAACTTTTCCCT